ACAAATAGCATGGTGTGGGCTGGCAGTGAGAGAAAGGGGCCTGGCCCTCCCTGGTGGCGCAGCAGGTTAAAGCACTGCACTAAGAAGCTGAAGCCATTTCTGCATGAGTTTGATTCCTGCCTGCCCCGGAGGTGACCACATGGAGTGGCAGACCTCTCCTGACCCGCCCGCTGCTCCCCTCAGCAGTGTACTTCGTCGATCTGCCTGTTCTGCTCCCCACTCTGTCTCTGGTGAAGCCTCTCGCCACCCCTGAGCCTCTGGCCTGTACCCCAGTTCTGTATGCACAAATAAATAAATCTTTAAAAAAAAGAAAGAAAGGGGCCTGTTCTCGGGAGCTCAAGGAAGGGTGGCTTTGGGAAACCTGCATTGGCTTGGATCTTGAAGAATGAGGAGTGGAACCACATTACATGCCACAGGTCAGGGAAGAGCAGTCACCCTGATGTGACAATGAGCCTGCCTATGTGGCAGAAAGAACACATAGAGATTGCTGTTGAAGATATGCACTGGAATTAAGCCATGCTAAGCTGTGATGCTCAACTGAGGACCTTTTGTACCCGTGGGCAGCTTTAGTCAACTGTATGTTAGCAGGAAATTGCATAAAATAACAATGTTTACCAGACATTAGAGCACTTGAATGAGGTTGAGAGGTTAAAAGTGTAAGATCCCGCCTTGATGACTTGAAATTTTTTCTGGCATACTGACCATAGAGGGCATTCAGTGGTCTTTGTTTCTTTTGTAATTGCAAAGTGGGAGCAGGTTAATCTGCCCTTCCTAAGGCTAGGGATGAGATGAATATTCCAGTATAGGCTGTCTTCCTTCTCTGGTTCCAGTGCATGAAAGGAGTGGCTTTCTAGACCAGCAATGCTTAGGACAATCAGACTGCTATAAATATAGTAGACTGGTTGGCTTGTTTAAAATAACTGATTTCTCACAGTTCTGGAAGCTGGGAATTTCAGGATCAGAGCATCGACAGTTTTGGTGTCTGGCAAGGCCTAGTTTCCAAGCTCGTAGATGGTTACTGCGTCACGTGGTGGACAGGTAGGGGAATGCTCTGAGGCTTTTTTTATAAGGGCACTAGTCCCATTTATGAAGGCTTCAGCCTTATGATCTAATCACTTCATAAAGGCCTTAGCTCCTAAAATCGTAACATTGAGGGAAAAAGAAACATTCAGTCCATGGCACACATGGTCTAGGCAAGACTAAATTTCCATGGCTGACAAACCAACCAGGTCACCAAGATTGCTACCCAGGGCCCATACTCAAGCTTTATGGCCTCTTTGTTCTTCCTGTCTCTGCTATGGTGAGAGACCAGGAACCTCTATTCCAACTTTCTCACAAGATAGGGCCACTAGTCTTTGGGGAGACAGTTGCTTTCTATCCAGGAGCAGTGATCTGTGAGAGTGACAGGAAGCCTGTGCCTCAGGCACATGCTAAGACTTCCCTTTTAGCAAGGAGCCAGTGTTGGCATAGTATTCATGAACATCAGTATCCTCATGAATCAACTGATAACTCCAGAGGAGGCTTGTGTGATTAGCCCCCCCCCCCACCCCAAGACTACCTGTAAACCTGTCCACAAAGCGTCTTTTCATCAGCATCATGTATTTCTCTACATTGCTGTTTGTTTTCCTGTAAACATCATGCCCTAGCAAATTACTATAAAGGAAGTGCCACTGGGTCTTCTGGGACATGCTGTTCCGCACAGACTTGTTTTTACTGAAGAGAGTGAATGATGCCTCATATATTTCACCACCTTATAAAGCATCATGAAAATCTCTTTTAGGATTATCACAGGGGCTTTGATACAGAGCATCACTTTGTAAATACTCTGCCGTGGGAAGGACAGAGGAGGCATAAGAAATTTTCATTGGGGAGAGCAACTCATACAGCAGAAAGGAAGACTTAATTGGGGAAAACAGCAAGGATGGAGCCAGTACTGTTAGATTTTCAGTGGAGGACTGACACTCGGCTGGATGTGTGACTTGCACATCTTATCATGCAAATGGGAGAGAGCATCGCCTTCCTGGGTGTCGACTATGGCTCTGCAAGTATTTTGTACCTTCTACTTTGGAGTGTGTTCCAGGAGCCAGCAGCATCAGGCTCCCCCTGGGAGCTTGTTAGAAATACGTGCTCCTGGGCCCTCCCTGGTAGTGCAATGGGTAAGAACACAGCACTGCAAGCTAGCCCACCCACGTCAGTGCAAGTTGGATCCCCGGTCCTGGAGGTGATCCACTCGGCGCAGCAGACCTCTCCTGACCCACCTGCTGCTCTCCTCAGCAGTGTACTTGTCAATCTGCCTTTTCTGCTCCCCACTGTTATCTCTGGTGAATCCTCTCACCACCCCTGAACCTCTGGCCTGTACCCCAATCTGTATGTATAAATAAATTTTTAAAAAAAGAAAGAAAAAGAAATGCACACTCTGGGCTCCACCCCCGCTGAATCAGAATCGGTGCTTGAACAAGGACCCCGGCTAATTCATAGCACATGCTCTCTTGAGAAGCCAGATCTAAGCACAGTGCCTCACAACTAGGGGAGGTGGGGGAGGCTGCTAAGATCCAGAATTCTAGAATTATCCTCTGAGGTGCCCTTTGGCACATCTAGTTGAAGGTACCACCTAGTGTTTATGCTGCTTGCCAGCTACCCATCTTGCTCCTCTCTAATTTTCCCCTGAATTAGAAGTTCAAGACCCTGTGCACATAGCACATGGTAAATGGGGAAATAGGCAAGAGCAGCCCCCAAATTGCAAACATGGGCCTGTTCCATGGGAAGTTGAAGGAGCCCAGCCAGAAAATACCAAAGTGGAGCCCTGTCCCTTGGGAAACTTCAACACTCCTTCTAGAGAGTGCTAAATATAATGATAAATCTTAAGAGACACTGGTTGATGCCAAGGGGGCATATACCCACGCTTCTTCACCTTAAACCACAGTATGACTTTATGGTATGTATTTCTGTAACATAAGAAAAAAGTTAACTCTCCATTAGTGATGTCACTATCTTATTAACCTTTAAATTCTCTCAGTCCTTACTAGGGCCTTTGCTTTTCTTCAGTCCTGAAATTTTCAGCCTGTAAAATCAATCTCAGATGGGAGACATAATTTCTCAGTGAATATTATTTCTATAGCTTACAGTTTTACTACTGGTGATAACCAGTGAAAGAAATATAGTTAGTAAAGATATTTTTAAGGACTCTGCGTATCATTTATATAAAAAATAAGTATAAGTACTGAAAGAATCATCCCTTGAGCAATGGTGTAAACGTTTATCATATCAGTTCCACATTTCATCAGTACTTAATTACCTAAGCAATTGTAGGCACAGAGTTTAAAGTTGAAGAGATTGCTGATGATAGTTTTTACCAGAGTTGATAAAGATTGTTTTTTGAAAAGTGGGTCATTTCAGCTTGATTTGAATTGGCACGCTTTACAATGGGAAAAGCCAGCCGCGTTCAGGATCATAAAAAATTTGCTTGGTGAACTGAGTTTCCTGGAGATTTCCCAGGGCAGCAGTCAAAGTGTCATATAGAAGAGTGTACTTGACCTCTGTAACCCTGCAAAATGAAACTCAGAGAACATTCTAATTCTACATCAGGAAGGCAGAATCTGTGCAGAAGTGATTAGTAGCTTGAGCCTCCAGTCATCCCTCAAATATCATTCACTTTCATTTATGGATTTCACTGGAGGATATAGCCAGGTATATCAAGTTTTAATACCAAAAATACATTGCTGGCTTAAAAACTAAAGGGTGTTTATTGGCTGATGTTGATAACAATCCACAGGAATAACCCAACTCAGGATTGTTCTTTTTCTTTCACTATCTAGATGACAGCTAGACACTCTTCCCCGTTTTTCATGAAAGTAAGATTCTCTGTTCTAGAATTCCAAGCAAAAGCTCTGGGTTAACTGAATGAGTTGTGTTGCTGGGCTAGACTGATGGCTATAAGCCAAAAAAGCAACTTTTTCAGTCATTTTGTCTTGGATTCAGAGCCCAACCTTAAACCAACTCTGGTGCCAGGGGAATAAGATGCTCTGGGTCGAACTGTGGGGCTGCTTCTTAGTGGTGGAAGTGAACCCAGTCCCAGGCCATCCCCCTGGCATGAAACTCAGTTACAACAAGTAGAACTGAGTTTGTTGGGAAGTGTCATTTGTGTCCAGGAAAACGAATACTGGGGACCTTGGCTTTTACATCCTCAGATCCCCAAGTCTCCCACCTTTTTCTGGACCCATGTATCGGAATGTTTTAGGACATGACTATGGAAAAAATAACTGTTAAGGAGAGGCAGAAGATGCTAGGAGGTTCCCTAGGTTTTGGTGGAATCCTGCAAAGGAGTGGCTTGACCCAGGGATAGCCTAAATTAGCATCTTCATTTATTAGGGCAAACTAGTCTTTAAAAATTAGTTCGTCTTTTCTGATTAGCGAAGATGGCTTTCCTAATTACAGTTTCAGGTGACAACACTTTCTCATACATGCTGAAGGTAAGAAATATTGCATCTCCAAGTAATTGTTACGTACATCTCCACAATACTGTAAGGAAATTATAGTGAAGCGTACAGTATATACTCCCAATAAGTGGGACATGTTTTCTGTCAGGAGATATAGAGTCAAATAAACACAGCTTAAGAAATATAAAATTAAACTTGATACTTAGTTCTTAATTCAGTTCTTAAGTATTTGGTCATGAATAAATCATTTTTTGGAAATGTATGAGTTTGCCTGATACATCATGATTTTCTAGACTGTCTTTTTTCAACCTTAAAAGTTCTTTCAGCAGCTATTATTCTCTTCTGCTTGTCAACCTGAGAGTTTTCATAATGAGAACAACCAATATATGTTATGAGCCATTCGCTCATAAATCCTGATAAAAGTTATATCCCTGCCCAAAAGCTACAATCCGCGCAGATGATGGATTGGACTTGCAAAATAAACACCATTCACAGATTCAGTAATCATGTAATTTACACCTTGTTTTTCTGTTTTTTTTTGTTGTTGTTGTTTGTTTTTTTCAGAACCGGATGGAAGAAAGCAAAGCACTCTTTAGAACAATTATCACATATCCCTGGTTCCAGAACTCCTCAGTTATTCTGTTCTTAAATAAGAAAGATCTCCTAGAGGAAAAAATTATGTATTCCCACCTAGTTGACTACTTCCCAGAATATGATGGTAAGTCAGCTCTGTTAGCCATTGGCTGGGACTGATATGAGAATGTACATACTAATTGTGTATCAATCACTATAGCTCCCTCCTAACCTCCCTCGAGTCAGTCTGCTTTTGCCTCTCTCTGGAGAAAGAGCACAGTTTTTTGGTCAAGGGCCCATGCTCCAAGGGAAATTACCCAGCTTCAAGTTCTAGTTCCTATACACAATACTTGTACAAACATTACCAAATCATTTCTTTGATCCTTAGGACTAAACACATGGGACTGTTTTGTAGACAGCAGTAGATAACATGAGTAGAATGTTAATATGATGCCTGACATACAGTGGGTATTCAAGAAATACGTGTTTCATGGAGATTTCCCATCATCCTTAGGGGCAACACCTATAGCACTTGGAAGCTTTAGCACCCATATCAGTAGCCCCTGTGCCACTATCTACTCTCTTTTTATAAACAGATCTGACCTCCCCAACTAGACTGTGAAGTCCTGATTGTCTGGACATCACACCAAACCCATGCTAAGAAGTATCTAATTTAATGAAAGAGTCCCAGCTGTGACCTTATAGGAGAGGAAACATACCCTCTCTCCCCATCTCAGTAGCTACATGAGTTTAGATCTTGAGAGTGGCAAACTATGGCTCGCCACCTGATTTTATTGTGTTATTGTACATGCCACACCCATGTATTAAATATACTGTCTATAGCTGCTTTCAGCTTTAATAAAAAAATTGAATGCTTTTGATAGATAGCAAGGACCACAAAGTCTAAAGTATATACATTCTGACCCTATACACAGAAAGTTTACCAATCCCTGATCTAGCTGGATAGTTGTTAGGAACAGATACTTTTGTTACAAAATTCTGGCTCTGCCCCTTACTAGTAAAGTTACCTTAGACAAATTTATTCAACTATTCAGTTTCTTTGAGTGAAAAGAATTGAATGGGGCCTCCCTGGTGGCACAGGGGTTAAAGTCTCAGCACTAAGAAGCTATCAGCAGCCACTGCAATAAGAGCTCCATCCCCAATTCGGGAGCTGACCCACGTGGCACAGCAAGGCAGACCTCTCCTGTCCTGCCAGCTGCTCCCTCAGCAGTATATTTCAGTAAATCTGCCTGTCTGCTCCCCACTCAGTCTCTGGTGAACGCTCTCCCTCCCCTGTACCTCTGGCTTACACCCCAGTTCTTGTGTGCATAAATAAATAAAAATAAATCTTAAAAAGAAAGAATTGAATGGAACCGTATATAAGTCACTTAACAGTACCTAGCACAGGGGAAAGCACAAATACAAAGATAGTTGTAGAGTTGTGTGTAACAGCAAGATTACAGACTGCTATTTAAATTACTCTGTCAATTTGCTGTCTGGGAGAGATATCTGTTAAACGGTGTTTTTGTATTTCTGAAATCCCCTCAGGAAGGTTGTTATTTCAAATTTGGTTTTACAGCTTTCCATATGAATTCACACCCTGGAGAGGTGGAATTTCACTCCTTTGAATATGCATGAGATACAGTTCTGACTAAGGAAAGAGAGATTAGTTTGGGGACCATTACCAGGTTTAAAGGTGGTGCCCACCCTCCTTCCAAGTACCTTCCCTTTTGCTTTTCTTTAAAAATAAATATACTCACTTTTACTCTTTTAACAGGCCTGTGGCACCACCATGTCATAAATGCCAGACACTGTGTTCTCAGTGCATTGTTAACTTGCCACAGCAACAGACTAGTTCTTAAACATAGCATCTACCTGAACTAGGTGGGTAGGCAAAAGGATCTGCCTTACATCTGAAGCACACCTGCTTGTCTCACATCTGGAGGGAGGGAGAATTAGTTTTCTCAGAATTTGGCAAGAATCAGCAGGTAGAACTGGTTTATCTCCCCTTCTCCCAGACACACACCCCTACACAGCACCCACCTGTAGGCCAGCATATTTTCACGAAATGCTGACGTATGTGTTAATGGGGGGAGGATATACCACGGCCTGGCCCCTCTGCTCAGTGCAGCACACACAACCAGGCCCCACAGGGTCCATTTTCCTGCAATGAAAGTCTCTTCTGTCTGATGAGTGTTTGGAGTCTGTTTCTGTTTCTCTGTATAACATCTCCTAATGTCTTTATGTATCTCCTTTCTCCAGATTTCCACTCACTGTGAGCATTTTCCTTCTAACATACATCCATTGTGAATGTCTTAAAACCTAAAGATGTTTTTCCTGCTAATCTCCCCTACTATGCACTTAATGCACATGGGAACCTCGCCATAGAAGAAAAGATACTGATTGTTATTCATTTCTTGAGACTCAAAGCCTTGCAAGATAAACTAAGGCTGAAAAAATTCTAGGCCCAACCTACAATGTTTTCATAATAAACATGTTTATAATATTATAAATTTCCTACTTTCACATCTCTGTACTCATGAGGTCTTAATCATCATAAATGCCATTTCTATATTTCTCTTCAGAAGGGAAAATTACCATTTCTACATGGACTTGAATTGCAGAATTGTTCATAGACACTGAAATTCTATTGCCATCATAATGATTATAATGATTTCTTGTAATACATCTGTGTTTATTCAAATAATTTGTGCTTAAAAGCATAACACACCACAAGTGCTCTTCAGTGAACCTGACTATTTCTAACACTCTTTAGGGGAAAAAAAAATAGGTAGACCTTTCTTTCCCTAGTAAAGTGAGTACAAAACATATCTTAAGTTCATTCACAAGCCAGAAAGATAGTGGGTTTTTTTGTTTGTTTGTTTGTTTGTTTTTAAATGTTGTCAGCCCTCCCTGGTGGCCCAACAGGTTAGGACACAGCACTGCAAGGGAGGCCCAGCCACTTCAGTGTGCGAGTTTGATCCCTGGCCATAGAGGTGACACACATGGCACAGCAGACCTCGCCTGTCTTACCTACTGCTCCCCTCAGCAGTGTACTTCATCAGTCTGCCTGTTCTGCTCCCCACTCTGTCTTTGGTGAATCCTCTCACCGCCCCTGTACCTCTGCCTGTACCCCAGTTCAGTATGAATAAATAAATCTTCTTTAAAAAGTATTTGTCGGCCCTCCCTTGTGGCGCAGCAGGTTAAAGCACAGCACTGAGAAGCTAAAGCCACTTCCACGTGAGTTTGATTCCCGCCTGCCCCAGAGGAGACCACATGGCGTGGTAGACCTCTCCTGACCCGCCCGCTGCTCCCCTCAGCAGTGTACTTCATCCATCTGCCTGTTCTGCTCCCCACTCTGTCTCTGGTGAAGCCTCTCACCGCCCCTGCACCTCTGGCCTGTACCCCAGTTCTGTATGCATAAATAAATAAATCTTTAAAAAAAAAAAGTATTTGTTTATGCATAGAAGAGCTGGGACCAGAAGTTCAGAGAACGGGAGGATTCACCAGAGACAAAACAGGGAACAGAACAGACAGATCTACTGAAATACACTGCTGAGGGGAGCAGCAGGCAAGAGAGGAGAGGTCTACTGTGCCACCTGGGTTAGTTCCCCGACTGGGAATTGAACTCATGTTGCAATGGCTGGCAGTAGCTTAATAGCAGTGTGTCTTTAACCCCTGCGCCACCACTAGGAAGGCCTAAAGATAAGATATGGATATGTGTATGTGTGTGTGTGTGTGTGTATAAAATATAAAATTATTTAGCTATCGTATTTTAAAGTTATGATTATTCATTACATAATATGATATTAGCCTTAGTCTTAATCACAAAAAAAAGTGTTTCAATTCTGGGCATTCAAGTCAAAAACTCAAAACTTTTCTTAGTTGTACAAATGAGAATATTTTCATGTCTCTTTCCTCCTGTCTGCTACCAATGTTGGATATAAACTCATTGGGTTATCCCCTATCTGCAGTAAGGTTGGTATGCAAGTACTCAGGTTGACTGAAATGCGTACCGAGGTTTGTTAGGTATGGTAGCCAAGCCAAGCCCTCTGCTTCCTCAGAAAAGGCCTTCATCCCAACCAACAGGCCACAAGGAAACCTGTCAATCTGAAAGGATCTTGCCAGACAGGAAAAGGTAAGAAGGAAGGGGTAACAGCCTGGTCTCCTATTTTCTTCATATAAAGCTAACTAAATAAATGTAGGAAATGTAGCTACAAAGACCCACAAATACAGATGCTCAATACTTGATAGGGGACAAAAGGACAAGAGAACTGCAGGTATCTGCATGCACAGTTACCACAAAAGCGAAACCAGCCCAATTAACTCACTTCACTGTCATGCCCTTACTTCTGAAGAATCTGCAGTGGCCCCCATTCAACCAAGGAGTTGGGTAAACTTAGCCTGGCTATCAAAGCCCTCTGCCTATTTTTATCTAACCACGTTTGGTTGGGTAGGTGGGTGGGTAGATGGATGGACAGATGGACAGATGGATGGGCGGTTAAGTGAGAAAGAAGCAGTTAACACAAAAAAGAGTTTGAAAAAATTATTTTAATTGATCGAATCTCCTGAGCTTTGGCCCATTAAGTAAAACCACCAGGTGGTCAGCTGAAAAACTGTCCCTCTCTTTCCTTGATCAACAGGACCCCAGAGAGACGCTCAGGCAGCTCGAGAATTCATCCTGAAGATGTTCGTGGACCTGAACCCAGATAGTGACAAAATTATCTACTCTCACTTCACATGCGCCACAGATACCGAGAATATCCGCTTTGTCTTTGCTGCCGTCAAGGACACCATCCTCCAGTTGAACCTGAAGGAGTACAATCTGGTCTAATTGTGCCTCTTCAACACCACCCATCCCTTCCCTGGTGGGCTATTGAAGCTAAAGAGGGACTGTATTTCTGTGGATAACAATTTGCATAATACTAATTTATTGCCGTCCTGGACTCTGTGTGAGTGTGTCCACAGAGTTTGTAGTAAATATTATGATTTTATTTAAACTATTAAGAGGAAAAACAGGATGCTGAAGTACAGTCCCAGCACATTTCCTCTCTCTCTCTTTTTTTTTTTTTTTTTAGGCAAAACCTTGTGACTCAGTGTATTTTAAATTTTCAGTCATGCACTCACAAAGAGTTGTTTCTTTCTCTCTCTCTTTCTTTTCTATTGAGCAAAATGAAGCTGATTTTCCCTAACCCATACCTCATTTTTCCCAGGTTTCAATGGCCTATCCTAGTTCCATTCTTGGTCAAATTTCTCTTTCGAATGATAACGTCAGGACAATGTCATTCGATTTAAGCCATCAACATCAGCTTAATTTAACAGTCCGTAGTTTTTGCTGAAGGATAAGTATTATTAATACTATGATTTTAAATGTATTGCTCTGGATACACACATAGTGGTTTTTATATATATAAATAGATTGTTTTGCCTCACTCTGGGCTGGGACAATGGATTCCCATCTAACCATTAAGTGTCATTTCTTTTAGATTTCTACCTTTAGCCATACCTTGGTTGCTCAGAGGAATGTGCAGAATTCAGTAAGACAAGGGCAAAGATAAATAGGAGTCCTTTCTTTTGAAAAGAATGTGCCATTGACCTTCTCTTCCTTTTTTTTTAACCCTTTCTTTAAATTGCAGATGCCAAAAAATATGCCAACAGACACTACATTACCCCAGTGGCTGCTACCCAGAAATTTTCATAGGTTGTTCTTAATTTTTTTTTCCCAATTTTTTTTTCCTTTGTTCAGACTTTTCCTCCCTCTTTTCCTTAGTGTTTGGGCCACAGTTTTAACTTGACTGTCTACTGTATGTGTTGCCAAAGCTGGCTTTTTGTAAATCAAAATGAATAAGAACTTAAATGATAAAAGCAGGTATTTTAAAATAAGAGTAAGACTGAAGCCTAAAATAAATGGCTGAGAATGAACCTGAAAATGCCAGTTGCCAAACAGTTGTCAACTGTAAATTTGATTCTTGTGGTCCATTCTTTTCCTTGCCCTTAAGCTCACTTTGTTTAGCATCCACGTTCCGTTCCATGTTGAGTGTCCATATCATAGTGTGAAAACGTGTCCCATGTGATAAACATGAAATCTGCTTGTCAGTCTTAATTGTAAGTCAGTTTTACCTTCAAGTTATTTAAGGTTGAGTAAGGCTGCCAAGATCATCGGTTGTTACTATTACCCTGACATTTTCTTAAACTGGTGACTGGTTAAGTTGACCTTAAGGAAGACTTGTGAACTCAAAGTAACCTCAGTGTTCTGGAGAACATGTATTTATGTAACTGAACCTACTAGAAGAGATGTTTGGAATTCGTTAATGTGCAATTTTTCAACAAATGCAACAAATATAGCACATATATTGATGAACTTCTGTCAAGCAACTTGAGTTGAAATATGATTTAAGAAAATAAATCATAATTGTTTTAAACCTGCTGGGAAGTTAGAATTAGGCCATAATGCTGGTCTCATTTTAACTGTAATACTATTTGGCAAAGGTCTAAGCTTCCATATAAATCACTCTTTTGGAACAACAAAGAGGAAGGAGAAAATTAATGACTTACTAGCTGAGATCCAGAATTACTAAATGGTAATGGAATGCTCTCATTCTTAGCTCTCCCAGCCTCCAACAACACAGGTTACTTTTTTTTCCTTTGCTCAGAAAGCACCTATAATTAACAGACTGTCTGTAGGTATAGTGCAATTATGAATGCTCTAATCATTGTACATACATCTTGATATTGCAGCATCCATCCTGGCTTTGTAATCATTAATTTTTTGGCAGATTGAATGTGCTGTATTGATATGTATCTATGTAATTGTATGTCTTATAGCTAATTCACATTTTGAATAATGTTATTTTATTTACTTTTTTAAGAGAGGAGAATGTAAATTTGTCAGTTTATTTCTGACTAGGGATATTTTTTTTTTCCATTTAGAAAAGAAAAAAAAATTTTACTATCATACAGAGCGGTACTAGCATCGTGCTGTATAAAATCATTTGCACATTCCTGAGTAGAGGTATACTGATTATAAGACCCAAAGGCAGTTTCATAGCAAAATACATAAAATCAGTCAGAGCTTTTATACAAACATGGAAACCAACTTTGTAGAACTTTTGCCATTTGACCTAGGATTGGAATATGAGCTTTTATACAATTCATATTCTTATTTGGCAAATGCACAGTTTAGTATTACCTCTCTGATGGCCTTTATTAGAAAGGCAGTTTTAGAAGCTATTGTGATCCACTAAGGAAATGTTTTAACAGCTAGAGACCACTGCTTGCCTGACAGGGCAATCTTCAATTTGGTGCAGCGGGAAAAAAAAAAGAAAAAAGTGAACAACATGTGAAGCCTACAGTGTGTATAGGAGAAAAACCTCATCACAAGATCATAGTGTTACAGTTTAGGGACTCAAGATATTCTATTTAATAAACCTATAGTAGATGTAGTTGATTAAACCTGATCTCAAAGCTCAAAGAAGCTGAGCAAAACAGGGAAAGATTGTTATATTTGTCTTTATGAAATTGGGAAGGAATTGCTATGCAGAATTGAGGTTTGTGGTTTCACTGTTCATCTTAGGGTGCATGACAAGATCCCTTCTCTTGAGAAAGGAAAAAATTGATCACCCTAGCTGCAGTGATGCATAGAAGCCTAATTGTATCCACACTAGTCAATCGAAGCTAAAGGATTTTCTTTTTGTTTCTTTGGGGTTTTATTGAAGGGGCTAGGGGCGGGAAGGGATTCTTTTCAGTTTTGTATAAAAACAAAGTTTACTCATGCTTTATATTATATTGTGATTGCAAGCATTCTAAGCGTGTGCCACTGGACTCCTCTTGTTGATGCTCTAGGTAATGGAGGTCTGTGGCAAGTTTTATGGTGACTTGGGCATGTCTTATTCAAAAACAAAAACCTTTCTTCAGCATACCAAGGCAAGTGGCCATTTCATGACTCACTTAACACATTGCAGTGTACCAGTTTACAGATGATTTTTTCCCTTTTTAGCGTGACAAGGCAGTTCCAACCCACAGAGAATTCCTTACTTGTAAATTGGAGGTTTGTACTATGCCTTACAGAGCTTAAATTCAGAAGTTTGTGCCTCATATCTGAAACAAAGGGAAACAACACACCCATTCAACCATAAATAAATCCCTTCAAAGTTTTGGAATTTTTTGGTAACATATCCATGTAAAGAGCTCTGTTGAATGTCATGAGTAGATTTAGGGTGGGGTGGGGGCGAAAACTTAGAATCCTACGTATGTTATTTACTAGCAGATGAAGCTATAAAAAGTATTTGAAGAACACCTGAAACTTGTATTTTTTTGTAGATTAACTAGCAGGCCTAATAATTTTTAAAAAAGGTAATTCAGCTAAAGGGCAGTTTACTTTTTGTACTTCAAGCTATCTTGATTGTCAAGGTGTACGAACTGTCATTTTAAGATACATACTGCCATATGATTGTAAATTTTAGTGTCTTAAGTTAGGAATTGGTGAAAATCTAATTTGTGCTGGATTTGGGTCAGAATGACTTATTTGCAAAAAAAAAAATTAATAATGGGAAGAAAGGGCTGCATAATGAGATACTTGCAAGACTCAGATCTTTGGTGGAAATAACCGTCAAATTACCCTCAACTTTCCCTTTGTTTTCAGTTTCTCAAAAAGAATGAATGAAATGAAATATAGCAGAATGTTAATCATATAAAAATAAAGTGTACCCAAATATTGTAATGTATATTGCTGCTCTTATTAAAATTAAATAAGGGTTTAAAACCACTTTATTGGTAATTGACACATCTCAATTGACACAAATAAGGTGTGCTTGGTATATATTTTTTTCTTCCAAAGATGTCTCTTTGGCTAGAAATACACACAAAAAATAAATAAAACCAATAATATTGTATGTTTATCATATTTCCAGCATATGTAGTGTTAATAGACCTGTCTTGGTAACTATGTCTTTGGGATTTCATTTTGGTTCCATTCAACTAAGAGAAGAGATGATTTAGCTGTATATGATTAGTTAGAGATTTTGGAGCCAGACACCTGCTGTTTAGTAGCAATTTAGTAGAGTCTAAACTTGTCATTTGTTTTTCTCACAGATTCACTTCCTGCTGTCTTCCCAACTCCCAGTGCCCTTTCAGTAACACTCTTGCCTCTAGAACCATCTGTTCAAAGTATACATATAGCACATAGTAGGTGCTCAAATATTAATTTCCTTCTTATCTCCTTTATCATGTATCCTCCATCTCCCCATATGGTTCCAGCCCAATAGTAAATGACATTAACATGTTACAAAAGTATCTATTGGGTAAAATTGGATCTTGGATAAAGACATTCAAGGACTTGTATAAGCCTTGGTAGACAAAAAGAAAAAAAAAATGGGGAGAAAGATATTCTTCAGTAGAATAATTTTTAAGTTTAGGAAGGAAAGATGGAAAATTACTATGTAACTATGTTCAGATTCTTTTAACTGAATACATGGTTTTAGTGGATTTCTTTTCCTGAAAGAACTTCTAAATACAATTCCTTGCTGGATTCCTCACCTGTCACCATGTTGGAAACCCTTACTAGAACTATGTATTTAGGGAGTTTTGTCAGAAAACATTTTTAACTTACAGTATTTAAAAGAATCATATTTACTGTTCTTAAAATGTCATTCAAATGCATGTATTGTCTATTGTTTGGGGGTGGGAACTAGTTTTGCAAAAAACACCTATTGTTGTATAATATTGCCCCAATGATCTTGCTGGTTAAAAATACAGTATTTTTGGCCATAATTTTGTACTATAGTATTCTTCATTCTTGAGTTTTGCTTCTCTTGAAGTCCCTAAGTCCCTCTCAAAGTAATTATTATAAGAAATATTGAGTAATAACTGACATGCATTTTCCAAAGTGTCAGATTCAGTAGTTCTAAACAAATCTTTCCCTTCTGTACGTAATCATAAATCTCAATTTCCTTTAGTCAAAATAGTCACCCTGACAGTATTTATCAAATTTGTTTTTAAAAAAGTATTGTCCTAAATGATACAGCAATTACCTGTAAAAAAAAAAATAAAAATAAAAATACAAAGAGCTGCTCAATAAAAACAAAGAGCTGCCTCTCCTCAGTCTTGCCAGTCTCCTTTGGACAAAACATTGGCCTAAGGAGGCGTTGTTTGGCTTAACATTTTCCCACACCAACAGCAATTGTGAGTAGTTTCACTCAAGGGGAAGAGCCTGACTTAGATGTCCTTCGTGGTCTGTGGCTCTTAAAAACACATCTAGACTTTTGAGAGCAACTAAAAATTGGCTTTTTCTCTAACAATTCTGTAAAGACCAGTAGCAGAATGAGGGGCTGCTTAAAGAAAAAGCTATTGCTACTGGTCTTTACAGATGGCAGCCAAACCCTTGCTTATGGAATTGGTTTTGTTCAGAATTCTCCATCCATACACTTGAGAGAGGAAAGCCTTGCTTCCATTTAAGACTCTCCTATTCTTGTTCGTTTCATTTCTGGCCTGTTATGCCCTCTTTCTAAACCTTCCCAGTTAAGGGTAGAGTGTCTGTGAACTATCATTTAGGAGACACCTAGAGTGATCGATCAGTTCCCACAACCTCTCCGCTGAGGAGCTGGTATGCCAAGCCCACACCAGTGCTCCCCATTCTGTGCCTTCTACCTGGGGCTGGACCCCTCTAGGGCCTTAGTCCTGCTGTATCATCTTGAAGACCCACAGCCCAACATAGTCACTAACATTATTGGAGCCAAACATTTGAACTTGAATTTCTGACTTGAGCAAGTCTGCTAGTTAGATTGTTTTCTCTCCTATCTCCCTGAAAACTAAAAATGTATAGTCATGCACCACAGAATGCTGTTTCAATGAATGACAGGCCACATATCTGAGCCCACAGGCTCTCCATGTAGCTGGAGTGGGTGTAGACTACACCAAGCAGGTGTGTTAAGTACAGTCCAACATTCACACACAAACAATCCTGACCAACACAATTCTCAGAACCCCTGTCTGAGTGATATATGTGATATATGTCATTAAGTGATATATGTCACTTTCTTACTGGTGGGGGTATCTAACGGCTGCTCAGCCGCACTCTACATCTTCCCTTCCTCTGTCCATTTTGCCTCTAGTTGTAAGGGTAGAATGCTGCCTCTTAAGCCAATTAAAGAATAACAGGAGGGCTTACAACTTGATGCCACTGAAAAATAATAGCTCATTTGATAACATACAAAACAACTGTGTTGCTTTACTCTTGTCAAATTTGAGTCATTGCCATGCTTATCAATTATTTGCAATTTGAAGCCATTATTGGGCATTTTGACTAAGGTTGGAGGGTGCAAGGCAGTGGTTAAGGGTGGGTTTCTGGTTTTGTTTTCAACTAGGCATTACCATTTGATCTCTGTCTCACTGCCATGACTAATTAAAACAGATCCAGCTATTACAAAGAACTAAACTTGGTGCATTGTAGGGGAGTCTCAGAGGTCCTTGCTAAATAAGGCCTCAATTATTAAATGTAGGTTTCTAAAATCTAAGATGCATAGAAGTTCTCAAAAGTTTTTTCCTTTGAATTTTTATGCCTACAGATTTGAAATCTCATCTATGTTGACTGCCTGTTTTCAAGAATGCAAAGGTTAGTATTTTTCTATTCCATAAGCCATTGGGGTAAAATAAGATAAAGCACTCTTTAGTTAAATATACTTTAACCAAGAAACCTGATTACAAAGAGCTGACTGACAGGCATCCCTGGTACACACGTCTGAACTACTCACATTTTTCAAAAGGTGTTTTTTTAAAAAAAAAAAAAAAAAAAAAAGCTTAGTTACTTGTCCTTAGAGATGGACTGCACTTAGAGCTCCTGAGACTTTTAACCTTTCCCCAGTTTGCCCAGCATTCTTGCGAGGTAAATCTTCAGAGTATCTCTAGAAATGAGATGCCAATAGAAGTCTAGCAAATGAAGCATGTCAAGCTCTAGAAACTGGCAAATGAGAATTCCACACTGCATCGGTGTGTCTGGAAGGGGGCAGAGCTGTAGACTGCTTGCATTCGCTCTTGGTGCGACTCATCCAGGACACCATGCCTGTGAGGAGTTCAAGCCAGCTGCCTGCCAGACTCTGGCCTTTCAGGGCATGAGTCTGAGTGCCCCTGATCAGAGGGCCCAGGTCAAGGGTTGTAGTATCAGCGATTATGTTCTAGGGACCAGAGCAGCATCAACAAAAGGGATGCTTCTTTCATTTTGTGGATCACAAAAGGGCCCAGCCCAGTGTTGTCCCATGAATGGTTAATTATGAAAGGGGGATAGTACAGGGGTGTGGTGCTGATGAGGGCGTGTGTGAGGATTCCACCAGACCCAATTTTAAGCTATTATGTGCTATCACCTAATTGAGGCCCTAACGATGGGCTTGCAAGCTGCTCCTGCACTGCCCTCCATTCCTCAAGCCAGTGCTTTTCTGTGAACCTGGGGGAATGCCTCCCTAGCTTCCCCCCAAGAAGGTACATTCCCATTCCCTGTGAGACGGCTCAGACGGGGCCACTTGACCACACATCAGAAATGTCTAAACTCAAAACGTATGGTAAGAATGGATAGCCAGGAAACTGGGAAACTGATTTGGACATTAGATATACTAATGTTTTGTGACAGTATGTCTCATGTCTCAATCCCCAAGCAGCTCAATCTCTGCTGAATAGAGGTTAAAAAAAAAAAAAAAGAAAACCTGTACAAATATTCATGATTCATGTCTGTTGCTTGACAAAATGAATCTTAAATCTTTTTAAAATTAATCTCGGTACATGTGTGGGCATACATGACTTGATGTTGAAGTTGTATACACAATCAACATGTGCAGATATTCATGGTGGGCACAGCCTTGCTTATTAGAAGCATTTTAACTCACAGAAATTCACACTGACATGAACAACAGAAAGACTAAAAGTTAGAATTGACATTTTCTATTTCAGTTTTTTTCTCACCAGTCACTCCAGGTGTCATTTTTAAAGAGCTCTGTCCTGTCTATAAAGGAACACCTAATTATGGAAAATTTAAAAGGTGTTTTAGTTTTAAAGACAGATGAACCTAGTCTGATGCTTTGATGTCTATGCGCAATGAAGAACTGTATTTCTAGGAAAGACAGTGAAAGACTGTCTCTGAGGTGTGAAAGCTGGAAATCATAACTGAATTGAGAGACTAGAGCTGCATGTCTGGGTGCACAGACACTCTCATGTCATCCTTTCTACTCCTGAGTTAAGTATTCCTTATGCAGACTGTTTACTTCCCACTAAGAATGCCATTCCCTGGCCACACACGGCTACACATAACTGCAGACTCAGTGGGCACTAGAGTTTGGACCTCTGTTTCGAGTCACTGTTCTAAGAACAGCTGAAGACCGCTGCCTTTCATGTGCTGGTCCACACAGGTCACTGTGGACAGGCCTCTTTCAGGTTAGAGGCTGCCTGCTTTCTCCCAGCATTCACTGCCCACAGAGCAGAAGCCAAAAAACATCTCAGGCATGACTTTCAACCAGTAAAGGACAAAAGGTGGTAGTAACACACTGTAGCTCTGGTCCTCAGGAGCAAATCAGGCCTTTGTTCAACACATTCTCAGAGGGACTCAGCAGGCCTGAGTCCCATTTGCTGACACCGGAACCCTCTCAATGACCGCTTGATTGGCTTGTCTCACTCCACTGCTTTTCTGCTCTCTCTCACTCTGCTTTCTGAGATGACCCCTCCGCCAACTTGCTCCAAAATCCTGCAGTTTTACAAGGTGTGCTTTGGGGGAAATCCTGGTTAAGAAATAAGGTAATTAAGGATGATTTTTTTATGGGGGGAAGCACCCACAGGAACTCATCAGGAACCAGTCACAACTAAGGCTAATCAATATTTTGCCCTCAGTGAACTCCCAACTGCAGCTGAGGGGTGAGGTCAAGATTAGCACAGTCCCCAGCATGAAGTGAATGTGCTACAAAAGCCCTACAGTAGATGAAAACTATATAGATAATATTTATTTTTAAAAAATCACCTTTTCCTAAAAGCTACCTCTTTTTAAAGATAATCATTTTAAATTGCTGAAGAAAAATGATACTGACATTTCAGCCACATAGGCATTCTGTTAAGATGGCTGCTCTACTCCTTTCCTCCACCTGCAGGCCTCTGGTTTTGGGTCCAGAAACCCCCATCCAGGCCTGATTAATGGATACCAGATGCGGCTGGCCAGCAGCCTCCTTAAAAAAGCAAACACACTGTTGTGTTGCTCCTCAGGCCAGTGAATGGTGCTGACATAATTAGAGGCTGAGGAGAAAAAAATGTTCCAGAGAATTGGCACATACAGTAACTTTTAACTGTTGGGAGAAAAGCAGAGATGAGGAAACTGTTCGAAAGTAAAAGGAACATTATCTAGGACGTGTGCTAAAAAATCCTAAGTTTCTCAGTAAAGGTATGCCTTTAGGAAAAACAAATTAAGGAAACTATGCTTTGAATCGTGCAATAGAACTTAAAAATGAGAGCTTTCTGCCAATGCAAAAACTTTGATGCCACAATTTTGTTAGAACTAATGTATGAGTCTATTGTTATAAAATATTTTGGAATGTACTTACATTGTATCTAGTTATCTAATATTAACTGAGTCTTGAACTAGATTGTGAAGGAATGTGTTTTTGAATAGGGGGTTACATACCTGTATATTTTGAAATGGTCAAAAGCTAAATAAAATTGTACTCAAGAATCCAATCTTTAGAAGTTACTGTCAGGATTCCAAATTATTTCATAAGACTGAGTTCCTTTTAGCCAAACATTTTTGA